TGTATTTCCTTCTCATTTTATTAATTTATTTCCTTTAAACAAAAAGAAAACAGATGTGAAAAGTATTCATGAGATAGAGAAAAGAATTGCAACGGCAAGGATATATTTAATAAGATGAAAGCAAGAGTAAAACCATCACTCATCAACACAATAAGAAAGATGCAAATGTAATTTGTGACATATACAGATAGGATTATCTAGAAGAAAAAATATTAAGAAGCCTTAACCCTTAAATGGGCAACCAAAAATGTAATTAGCAATACCAGCTCTTTAAGAATACTAGAACATAGGCAGAAATGGAGGGCCATGACGGCCAATGTCTGTAACACACCCGGCACTTGATGATGATAATGAGGGGGGAGGGGGTTAAAGTGTTATCATTTTTTTTCTAGCTTGCAAGGGATATTGAATTCATAATGCATAAGTTCAAAATATAATATTGAATCGATGTGATGGAGGGATGGAGGCAATAATGGTTCTATATAAATGCATGATACAATATTCCTTCTTCGTATGGACAATGATGGACATATGAATTTCTAAATAACAGATTATATATAAGTATTGTAAATATTACATTGTCTATGAAAGTTTGGTGTAAGTTCAGTATAGCTCAGACCCTGTATCACCTGATGTGATTGACAAGGTGGGGCGTCGGCAAACTAACAGATATTACGTTCAAATTATCTCATCTAAAAATGAATATCTCACCCATCACCAAAATTCATGTCCATAATTACAGTAGTATACGTATGGGGGAACTGCAGTATAGGCCTAATAATTATATCAACATCAACATATCTAAATATCAATTGATATAAGGCTAGCTTTGAGCACTTTTAATCATCATGATCTGTCATTAATTTATCGCAGGAATCTCGCCGGATAACCTTTCTTTCTTTTTCAGCCATTATCGATCCACTGCAGGATGAAGGCCTCAGCATGCTGTCTCCAAAGAACTTATATATAACCCATCGTGCCACAAGTACATCTTGAACGACGAACCTTGCACAAAGCTCCATTGTTAATCACAATCCTCCACCGACTCACAGCCTCCCATTTCAACACAACATTTCGCCGGCGTCTGACCCTCCTGTGGCATACAGAATCCATCTCGTGATGAACAGGACTGTGAATACAAAATAGTGAAACATTGATATAACAATCAATGAGCAACAATTAAATTTGTTTGTAAGCAAGATATTAGACTTCATGCGTAATCAAGGAGTATAAAAAGTGAGAATATTGCAGAAAGTTAGGAACAACACCGACACGAATTGATAATGTTTCAAAATTCCATTCTTGCCCTATTTAGTGATGTTGATCTCGTATTATTTTCTGCTGAATAAGCAGTCGTATGAGAATAACAATTTCTTTCATGGACAACAGGTACAGAACAGATAAAGGAAGATTATGACATTAAAAAAAAATCCTGGATACAAAATAAAAACATGAGAATGTAACAGTTCTACTTGTTAAATATGATTCACTTTCAAAAGTACGCATTTCCATTTATTTGACATATACATGTATGTAAGGAGGAGGCGATGATCTTATCAAGACACATTTGGCGAAACTTAGACTGTGACGATACAAGGGCTATTTAATGAATGAATGAAGAAATAAATGAAGGAATTAATGGATGAGTGAGGGGTGAATGGACTTATAACAAAAAGGTTAGTTGCAATAATAATATAACGCGGGTATATAAATTATTTATCACCTTTCATTCCCATAAGTTCTTATCTTTATTAGAAGGCTTATATTACACGTATTTTAAAAACAAAACTATTATATCAATGGAGAGGAGTGGAAATCCATTTTCAAAGGTGTCATATTACGGATCACTTTCTTTGGAGCTGAATCAACTCTAAAGAAGTGATCGAATAACTCTTTTGAATCACAATTTTTCGCGTGGATTTCCATTTCAAACGATTCCAGTAATGTAAACAATGCGTATAAAAAAAGTCCACACTTTGAAAATATGCTCTAAAATGATACTTTCACTATATCTGCATGATTTCTATTACACGATTGCGAGTAAATAAGCGAATGCTCACTCAAGCGTAACACATTGTCAATACTTTTAGTGCCATCCTATTGAATCGACCGTCATCCATTATTTTGTAATTAAAAATCAAGCAGATATCCTTCAATGATAATTTTGGAGGATATATTCAAAGTTTGAACCTTTTTCGTTACGTACTGTAGAGCACTATAATCTTATTGCGTATTTTACCTCGTCATTGTTGGCACCTCCTGATGCACCCTGGTATGTAGCTAGTACACATAGCATGGCCAGCATCAAGTATGTAGTATACCGTGACACTCTCCGTGTGATTGGCGCCATCTTATACGTCACGTGACCTATCCACCATATGAAGCAAAGCAGAACAGTAGAACTTGCAATGTTTCCCTTTTTTTTAAAATCAAGTCCTGAGTAATATTCAATATTGTTTCAAAGTACTGAAAACTGAAAACTGATTTTCCTGATCTCAACTCTGCATTGGCTTCTTTGGATCATGATGCTGCTTGTCCCATGTGCATAACTCTGTGTAAGTACAGTACATGAGTGATTTGCTGAAATTTTGAACTCAAGTAGCCTACAGCCATAGTGACCAAAGAATTTCAATTGATTACATCGATCCTGTTGAGTCAGTGACAATAGTCTATTCAGACATTATCTATTGAGCCCTGAACTTAAACCAGAAAGCCTTTGACACCAACAGCTCACTAAACCTCACTTTCTTTTCATCCGCGAAACCAGCCTTGTTTAAAGCTTATATATGGTAGCTTCTACTCACCGATAAACCTGCCTGCTTCACAATGCCAGCAAACAAAACCAGAAAAAACACTGCTGCTGCTACTACTGAACCTCAAACTGAATCATATGACAAACATGATCAGATAGCTAAAGAGGTACAAGACTATTTTAAAAGTAAACAATTTAACAAGATGCTTCAGACAGCACTTACGAAATCGACAAAATGTGAAATGCAGGACCTGCGTGAGCAGTTGGAGAGAGCGGAAGGCAAAATCCTTGAGCTCGAGCATCAACTACGCTCCAAATCAAACACCATCATCACTCTTCAAGAACAGCAAGAAAGCAACCTGGCCAGTATCGACAAGCCGGAGTCCAACGAAGCCGAACAGTACTCCCGACGTACCTGTGTTCGTGTCTACGGCGTACCTGAGAACCCAGGAGAGGACACCGACAAGCTGGTTCTTGATCTGGCTCGCGAGAAGATATATCTCAACTTGGAGCAACATGAGATTGACAGATCTCATCGTGTAGGCGCGCCTGCAGCTGCAGGGGCACATAGCACAACTGGGAGGAGCGCTGCAAAACCGAGGCCCATCATAGTGAAGTGCACCTCGTACCGCACTAGAGAGAGGTTCTTGAAGAACCGCAGAAAGCTGAAAGGTACCCACATAGGCATAGAAGAAGATCTGACCGTAATAAATAGGACTATCCTGTACAAAGCGAAGGAAGAAGTAAAGAAAAATGACAAGATAGATGCAGCTTGGTCGACTGACGGCAGGATCATCCTGTTTAATACTGAAAGCAACGAACGGTAGATCAGTCAGGAAAAGAATTTGGTCGGTGAGTGATCTCTCAAAGATATGAACTACAAATGACTTTTTACTACTTTACAGAGACAATAATCATCAGTTCCCATGTGTATACAGCCATCGTAAACTATTTTTGTATTCTTAGTATTTTGATGATAGTATTATTCGATATTGTATTGTATTTTTCTTGTTTCTTGTTCTTTGATGTCTTCTGAATGTAGTTGTATTTTGTGTAACAGGCAACATAATTTAACATGCAGAAATTGTTTTTTATGTAAACTAGATAATAAATCTGATTCAAGACTTGATAATGATACTGGTGACCTTATTGAAAATCAATATTACACTCCTTTAGAATTTTGTAATATTTTAAAAAGTTATGGACAAAGTACGCTCTCTCTTGCACAATTTAATTGTCGCAGCTTGAAACAAAATTTTGATACATTTTTAAACTGTCTTGATGTTTTTTATAAACCTTTATCATTAATTGGAGTTTGTGAAACATGGTTGAAACAAGGTGAAGAACAAGAAATATGTATTCCCAACTATAACTTTGTTGGAAATTGTCGACCGAATAAAAGAGGGGGTGGTGTAGGTTTATATGTTAGTGATAGCTTAAGATTTATTAGAAGATTGGACTTAGATATATTTAGTGAGGATATTGAAAGTGTATTTATTGAGGTACGTAATAAAGTGAAAAATATTATTGTTGCTGTAGTATACCGGCCTCCAAGCCATAACCCGTCTAACTTTATGTCACAATTACAAGAATCTTTGATTAAAATAGTGCAGGAAAAAAAAAGAATTTGTAGTTATGGGCGATGTTAATGTTGATTTCATGAAAAAAGATGAAAATACGAAAGTAATGGATTTTTTTGATAGTTTTGTTGCTTTGTCTTTTTTACCATATATTTATAAACCAACAAGAATTACAAATGATACTGCATCAACTTTAGATCATATTTTTTATAATAATCCTGGAAAAGTTTTGAAATCTGGTATAGTGATAACAGATATCAGTGATCATTTAACACCGTTTATTATTTTGAGGTCAAACAATTTTGAATCTGAACCTGATATTGAAGTGCGAAAAATTGATTTTAGTGAAGAAAATATGAAGCATTTTTGTAGTGAGTTGAACAAAGTTAAATGGGAACGACTTAATTATATTTGTGATGCGAATGATAGATACAATTATTTCTTTAAATTATATAAGGATATTTACGATGAATGTTTCCCTGTTAAATTAGTCAAAAGTAAAAATAAAGTTGATAAGCCTTGGGTAACAAAAGAGGTAATCAAGCTGAGTAAACGTAAGCATATATTATATCGTAAATACCTAAGAAACTCAACCTCTTTACGTGAAATGGCATATAAAGAATGCAGGAATGTCTTAAATAATTTAATACGGGAAAATAAACGTGCATACTATGACTCTAAGTTTGATAATGTTCGAAATAATGTGAAAGCAACATGGAAACTTATTAATGCAATTTTAAACAAGAAAACATTAAAGCATGGGATCAATGATATTGAAGTTGATGGTGAAAAGATTACTGATAAACAAAGAATTGTAAATATATTTAATTCTTATTTTTGTACAATCGGGCAAAAACTACAGCAAAGTATCGATAATTTGATTACTTGCAATATTGAATCAACAAAATACGACAAGTACTTGAAGGGTAACTTTTTGAATTCATTGTTTTTACAGCCTGTTACTAACGCTGATATTATTAATGTGGTTTTGAATTTTGATGAAAATAAAAGTCCAGGATACGATGAAATTCACCCTAAGGTATTGAAAAACTCGATTTATATTATTGTTACACCTTTGTGCAATATCTTAAACTTTTCCTTTGAACAAGGTATTTTCCCCGATGCTCTAAAAATTGCGAAGGTGATTCCTGTTTTTAAAAAAGGCAATAAGTCACTTTTAAATAATTACAGGCCGATATCTGTGTTATCTGTTTTTAGCAAAATATTTGAAAAGATTTTATGTGATCAATTGACTCGTTTTATTAGTAAAAATAATATTCTGTATGAAAATCAATTTGCTTTTAGAAGAGGATACAGTACTTGCCATGCTCTTCTTGATTTTATTGATAAAGTTGCAAATGCTTTTGAACTTAATGAATTTTTAATTGGTGTATTTCTAGACTTATCCAAAGCTTTTGATTGTATTGATCATAATATTTTAATAAATAAGTTATGTTTTTATGGTATAAGAGGAATTCCTCTTCTTTTAATTAAAAATTATTTATCAAACCGAAAGCAATATGTTAGCTTTGGTAATTATTACTCTGATCACAGCACTATTTTAACTGGTGTGCCGCAAGGTTCTAATCTTGGCCCGCTCCTGTTTTTACTGTATATCAATGACTTGCCATCTGTAAGCAATATTTTATCTTCTATTTTATTTGCTGATGACACCACTCTGTTTTTATCTGGTAAAGATCCCGTAGAAATAAATAATCTATTGAATTCTGAAATTGTTAAAATACACAAGTGGTTCCTTGCCAATAAATTGTTGATTAATTTTGAAAAAACAAACTATGTAATTTTTAAAACAAGAAATAAATATGTAAATGAAGCTGCTATCAAGATTTGTATAAATAGTAAAGAAATTAAGCAAGTACACCAAGTTACTTTCTTAGGCGTCATTAATAATGAAAACTTAACGTGGAAGGACCACATTTATTATATTTCTAACAAGCTGTCAAAGGTCATTGGTGTTTTAAATAGACTCAAAGATATTTTACCATTACGCATACTTGTACAATTGTATAACTCTATGATTTTGCTTTATTTTAATTATTGTATTATTGTATGGGGCAACTGCGCTTCGTATCTGCTTCAAAAGCTATTTTTATTACAAAAAAGAGCCGTCAGGGTTATAACAAACTCATATTATAGAGCACATACAGGTACATTGTTTTTTAAGCTGAAGTTTTTAAAACTTTATGATCTATATGATATAAGTATTGGAGCTTTTATGTTCTCTTACATGTACAATATAACTACTTTACCTGATTGTTTTAATAATTATTTTATTTTTAATAGAGATATAAATCAATATAGTACTAGAAATTCACACAAACTTTATGTTCCTTCATTTCGCTATAATTTGTCAAGAACAGTAATAAAATATAAAGGATCCATTATTTGGAATAACTTACCAGATTCTCTCAAAGCATGCCCAACATTGTCTAGTTTTAAGCGTAATTTTAAACACAAACAAATATCAAGTTACAATATACTTTTTTAGCTTTTATTAATTCTGCCTGTCCTTGTATGTGTGTTTATATGTCTTAGTTAATGTAATGTCTATATTGTCAATATTTTGCTTTTAATTACTGAAGATTTTACTTTTGGGGTTGTAGAAAAAGGGGACCAGCCTAGATAGGTCAATGGCCTTTGCTGGTCCCCCACATCCCTACTCCACCCATTAATCAATTTTAGTGTTACTGTTGTTGTTTTATTGTTCTTATTATATTTTATATATATTGCATTTTGTATAATTGTATTTTTAATGTTATAATGATGTTTTTATTGGATGTGAAATAAAATGAACTTGAACTTGAACTTGAAAAATATCTTTATTTCGTACTGTGTCACCACTCGCAAGTAAAATGTGTGCATGTACAATGCATAGTTTCATTCTCACAGCAAAGAAGCAGGAGATTGTAATGTTTTTAAATTACTATCATGGCAAGGACAATATTAAGAAATTGAATTGAATGAGTCACCTTACAGGTGTAAGTCAGTGTGAGTAAAGGCCCTATCTCACTGAGCGACGGATGCTTGCGAACGTAGCGAATTTGGGGTTTCGCCAGGGTTTTCAAAAGGTTGCAAATGTTTGTAAAAGGTTGCAAGAAAGTTCGCAAACAGTTTTTCTTATCGGAAAGAAATTTTGGACATTCAAAGAGGTGAACCCTGCTTTTCGCCAACATTTGTCAGAAAAGTTGGCGAATCCAAATTCGCAACGTGTGCAAGCATTCGCCGCTCAGTGAGGAGACTAGCGCTCTTTAGTGATACGAACTCGGGACCTCCCGATTACGAGATCACTGGGCCATCGCACCCCTCAGAGTTGCCAAAGCATAGCTCCTGATTAACGTACACTAAAAGTCCGCTGCACAAGAGGCGAAGAAATGTCTGAAGAAATGCAGACCTACACTCAACAACTGAATTTATATTAATTATTTCCAGATCCAGACTATCAACTACCAAGAAACTTTATACAATGGCGGCTTCAAAAACGTAGAACATTATTCCCCTTTCCATCAGAAAATTAAGCTGTCTTGCCACTTTCAAAAGATCCAATAAAGGTACTACGTCCCATTTGCAGGCCAACAAAAATGAAAAGGTTAAATTCCAACGGCATTTGAAAGATAATTCTAATTTAGAACTTCTCTAAAAAAGGTGGTGCTTGAAAATGTCTTCTAGTTGGAAAATAACGACTATTAATAATCGACTTAGGAACTATAGAGCCAATAAGTAATAGTCTTGATTTTCAGACCATTGTACCGAATGGTCATACGTTTTATGCTGCGCAAAGATTCAATCAGTTTAATTTTGGCCATCACAAGAAGTGGGTTATTGATGTAGACAAAATGCTCATGTACCCTTCACAGCTCATTGTATGTATGTTATTATATTACCAAAGAAGAAAAAAAGCCAGTCAGTCACTCAATAGTGTCTGACAGTGAAGTCTAGCAAGTAAACAGGTTTTCTTGCATAATTTGAATATTAGGACACAGCTAACGTTCGAATTTCACAGATAGGACATACATGACATATTCATAAATCCTGCAAAGTTCTACAGAATTTGAGGTTGGCTGCAAAAGGGACATAATACCTTTAAAATGTACTTCTTCCCTTAATAATAAAGTATAATTTACCTATTTAAGAGTTTTATGTTTTTTCTCTTCTCATTCTGTTACTTTGTATAGAGAAGACTTACGGTTGCACCAT